GATAAGCAAGGGGTTCTACAGATATCCTCTTCATATTTACTATTCATGGTTTCTGAGCCTCTTTTGATAAGAGATTGATTAGGTTTGATAATAAAAGGAAATCTCTTAGATTTGGGGTCTCTAGGGGTTTTGATGATATTTTCTTGTCTGCACTAGGGTCTGACTGCCCTTGTATCCTCACTCATCTGTGAAAAGGAAAATCATATACAGTAGGAAAATGAAGCATCTTAATTTAACAGCAAATTGCAAATTAGTTTTTAATGGCACTAAAGCGAGCATTTGGTCTACAGTGTGATAAATTATAGAGATCTAACTATAAAATGGTAAAATGGCATCAAAACCCATCTGCAGAATCTTTGCTGAAAGGGAGATTCTTTCTAGGATTTGGAAGAGAGAAATTTATTTCATCAAGGTGCTTAAACATTAACATCAAACTAATTGAAGTGTTTCAGAATGCTAAAACTTATTGAAATTTTTATGGAATCTCAGCTGCCAATTTCTTTGTCAGAAGGGGCCAGAAACCCTTACTGACCCCAGATAAGATAGATGTTTATTGCTGTGCATTCTCTTCAAATGCTTTGTCTGCTCAAAAAGGCTGTGACTGCTGCAGGGCATGGAGTTCTCCTTCCATCACAGCTGCGGCTGCGGCTGCGGCTGCCTCAGATCTAGCCAGGGGGGCAGAGTAGTACGGCGGGCACGTAGTAAGTCCTTGGGTTTCATTTAAGGCACAGTGTTCCAGTGACTGTCAAACTCTTGATTAAAAATGGAGGCCCTGACTATTTCTGCAGGACTTTAGCCAACAGGGTGAAGTATGCGTGGATTAGGAAGCTCTCTGCAAAGGCTGCTTCACTGAGCTTTAATGAGAGAATTTGAAGGAGCTGGCTCATAGCAAGGGGTCCAGTGAGGCCAGAGGTCCTCATCTGCCAAGAACCCAACACCTAAAAGGCAGAGAAGTCACAGGGACACACTCAGGGACCATCCCTGCTGGCCCATAGAGTGGCTTTGCATGAATTAGAGTAAGACACCCTTTCCTCAGGACACTTTATTACCCTCTGTTGGACAGCTGTTGTAATCAATATACAGATCCACGACAGCTGTGTACAAGTGGCACCTCCTTAGCTATGGTTCTGGCCATGTCCTGGACTGCTGGCCGGGCCACCATGTGCCCACTGGGCTGGGTCAGGCAAAGATACCCAATTGCCCATGTTTACTTTTTTTTTGTTTACCCAATAGGGATATAAAATATGAATTTTTTTCTCTTTGAACTTTTTTATTTGTAAAGTTAATTATTTAAGTAAAGGCTTTGGCTTTAATCACAGTTATTAGCATAAGAAACTATTTTTCTAGCCTAGCATCCCAGTGGGAAAAGTAGGATTGGTGAATTCAAACCTTTCTTCATTTATCTTTGGATTATAATAAAATAAAGTATTTTTAGGTAAGGCACAAAACCAGCAAGTGTCAGTAAAAGGTGAAACAGAACCAATCTACTAATTATTTCATTACAAGGCTTTAGGATTGCCACAAGTGCCATTCCTGTTCCTTCTGTTCTACTTTACATGAAAACACCCAAGGGCTTGTACTAGAAGTAACTGGTTTTCAAACTTGTAGAGAACTGGATTTTTATTTTTCAGCTTCGGGCAGGGTTTATAGTGGTGAAAGTAATTGGGGTTTATTCATTCTTTGGGTTCATGATCAATTTATGCAGGTTTTCAATTGTAAAAATACCAATTGGGTCTTTAAAAGGCCTTTATATACTTTGGAATTTGGTTGTAAACTTGGCTTGAAATTCAACACAAGGCAGGGATTCAAAAGGGCTGAGTTTCTGAATTCTCCAAAGAACTTCATTTTGGGGTGGATTTACTTGTAAGACGATGCCAGATGTAGCAGCCTTCTTCAGAGGAAGGGTTCAGACTGCTTTATTTAGTGGTTTTTGAAAGTGTTCTTTTTGGGGATTCAGTTTCTTTACATGTTTACAACGTTATTGGGGGTAGTGATGATGCAGGCCTCAAGTCATCACAGGGATTCCCAGAGTTCAGTGGAATTCAGATGTGGGTCTGTCTTTTTGGACACCCACCTTGGTCCACGTGGTGCAGTTCACAGCCCAACCCCTGTGGGGTTTCCCACCCTGAGCTCATTGGAAGACACCGGCGTTGCTTAGAAATTAGACCAATGGCCAGGTCTGGTGGTACAGGCCTGTAGTCTTGGCTACCTGGGAGGCTGAGGCGGGAGGATCACTTGAGCCCAGGAGATCAAGGCTGCAGTGAGCTATGAACGTGCCACTGCACTCCAACCTAAGAGACAGAGCAAGACCCTGTCTCAAAAAAAATGAAAAAGAAATTAGACCAGTGTTAATGTTGAAGATCCAGAACTCCAGTCAGACTTATAATTTTGTTTGTAATCAAAATTTCTGGATAGGATTTCTAGAAAATCCCAACCTGTGGAGTCGTTTCGTACAATTTGATAAGAGGCCTGGACTGTTGTGGACTTCTCCCTCAAGCTAATAAACTGTTCCAAAGCTGAAGAAAGGAGGCTTTTGTTTGAGAACCCTGATAGCATTCTGGGTGTTGGAGCCTGACATTCCCAACTAGGATAGAATAGCCCAGCAGCTTCTTAGCTTTCTCCTTCTCCAGCCTCCCCTTCCTTCTCTTCCCCACCTCCTCTTTCTATGCACACATTCCCTTCTTCTTTTTCTTTATTCAACCAAGTTAATTGCCAGGCTTGATCATGGAATTAATGAATGACTAGAAAATCATCTCAGTTTTTAAAATTCAACAAAAAATTTCTCAACAGCTAAGTGTCCAAGAAGACAGAATCTACATACAAGGACCTCTTAGCCTTGTGCAAACACAAAACTGTCTTGCACTCGCATGCTGGGCTGTGTCACCTGTGTACTTGTGGATATATGAGCCACCTGGAGCTAATACATAAACTTGTTAATAGTGAGATATATGCACAGAAAGGGCTTGCCACCAAGTGACAGTATGCCTGCTTACTCACCCTGCATCTATAGAACCATTGAGTGCTACTCAAAACTCCAGGAACTATTGACTTTGAACAGAAATAAATGAAATAAACCTGTGCCTAAGTAGAGATCAATTTTCCAGCTTCTAGCTTTTTTATCACATTAGAACCAAATTATCAAGGGCCAGGTATCTCTAAAATTTCTGATGGATTTTGTAATTTTTTTTCTTCTTTAGTGAAAGTTCCATTTTGTTGCTAAAAGCCATCTTTGAAAGAGGGTTCAGGCCGGGAGCGGTGGCTCACGCCTGTAATCCCAGCACTTTGGGAGGCAGAGGCAGGTGGATCACGAGGTCAGGAGATCGAGACCATCTTGGCTAACACGGTGAAACCCCGTCTCTACTAAAAATACAAAAAATTAGCCAGGCGTGGTGGTGTGCGCCTGTAGTCCCAGCTACTCGGGAGGCTGAGGCAGGAGAATGGCGTGAACCCGGGAGGCAGAGCTTGCAGTGAGCCGAGATCGCGCTACTGCACTCCAGCCTGGGTGACAGAGCGAGACTCCATCTCAAAAAAAAAATAAAAAAGAAAGAGGGTTCAAATTCCACAGTGTGTCAAGCGAGCATCCATGTGCCAGGTACAGTGCCAGATGCTTTACATGCATCAGGTTCTTTAGTCCTGTGAGCTGGGAATTGTTATCCCCACTCCTTGTGCATACAGAAACAAGCTCAGAAGTATAGAAATGTGCCCATGGTCACTTGTCTTGACCAGCCTCCAAGCTCTCTCCTCTTCTCCACACCCAGTATGACAAGGAACCTGCTAGACAGAGGGCAAGCAAGTGAGCATGGTTCCAGCCAGTCACTGTCTACTGGGCACTCGCCGTGTGCCAGGCACTGGGCCAGGCTCTGGGAGCCAAAGGCAAATAAGGCATGGCCTCTGCTTGGCCTTCAAGGTCCCCGCCTGCCTTGTCTGACTTTCCCCTGGCTGCTCCCCAGTTCCCATCCTGGACTCCTGCCAGGCTGTGCACCTCTACAGATGTGTCACTGTCTGCTGGACCACAAGACAGAGGCATGGAGGCAGGACGTGAGGGATGTTATGTTCAGGGAGCCGTGGAAGGTCCCTGCAATTGGGCCCTGCATCAGAACATGTTAGCAAGTTAGCTTGTGACCAGGTGGAAAAGGGCATTACCTAGCTTATGAAGGAGGCTTTGGGCTTTATCTGGAGGTCACTGTTAGCCCCTGGGAGCATAACCATTATTTCCTCAGGGCTTGGCAGCCAACAGCCCCAAATAATGTCCTGAAAACTTTAATGCCTCAACTCTGGTGACTCCTGGAGCACACTTCATAATGGCAGGACCCTTACCCATCTCCCCTGCCAGTCATGCCTCTGACAGTTATTTCTGGGGGCCCATAGGGACACTTCCTGTTTGCATCCACAGCCCTCTCATGGTCTGGGCCTCCTAGCAAATTCAGAGCCAAATCCCAGTGTGTCTGCAGGTTCAGTATATGTCAGGGGCATGGGTCAGCTCCCTAGGGCAACACGGAATGGTGTTTAAAGCTCAGGATTCTGGAGGAACAATGCAGGACTGGGGTCTGTGCCCCCAGGGACTAGGCCCGAACCCTGGCATGAATGAAAACTAAATACTAGAAGCTCATTGATTCTGTGTATATGTGTGTGTGGTGGGAGGGGAGTTGAAAGAGACTGTGGCTGTCCTGTCGGCCTTAGCTGGAGCACCCTCGGACTAAAATCTCTGAACCTAGAGGCAATATGACAAGGTTGGTGGTATTGTAGGTGGTAGGTTGTGGGACTAGAGATGGGAGGTAGAGAAACTGTTAGGAGGCTATTGCAGAAGTTCTAGGAGAAAAGAACAGTAATCTAAACAGTGGGGATTCGAATGGGGATAGGTAAAAGAATCAGGAATTTTTTAACCAATGGAAGCCGATTCTGAGGGTTCTAGTTTGGGTAATGAGGGCAGAAGAGATGCCAGTGACTGGGCAAAAGGGCAACGATCAGGCTTTGCAGAGGGGATGAGTTGTTTATCCATATTGACATCTGAGCTCTAATGCAGATTCCAGTAAATATCCCTACCAGGCACTGACCCTAAGGGCTGGAGATGGAGATCTGGGCATTGTCAGTACATTTCAAAAGACTCTGACCTGTGCCTTCAGCCCTGACCCCATCCAGCCCATTGCTCTCACTGCAGCCGGATTGACCTCTTTGAAAGCATCTTTTTGTATACCTGTTGCCTTCCTGGGCAAAGATTTTCAGTGACTCTGACTTTCTGGAGTGTGATGGTCTAAACCCTCAGCCACCAATGTTGGGCTGCCCTCAGCCAGTCCTTGCGTTTCTGGATCAGGACTGCTTTGGTCACAAGTGACAGGGATTCCACTCATACTAGCCTAGCTCACAAGAGGAGTTTGCCGGCTGATGTAATCAGCTTGGGGCTTAGGGAGGTGCATGCTAGGGGTCACTTTCCATCTCTTGCTCCTCTTCTCTTTGCTTGCTGGTTTGATTCTCTCAGCACTTTGTTCTACCTGGCAGGAAACACGGGGGTGAAGCAACTTCCACGCTTCAAATCTCATGATGTTTTCACTGGAGTGGGATAGAGTACCTTCTTCGCTCAGTACCATCTAGAAAAATCCCAGGAAGAACTCTGATTGGACCAATTTGGTACAGGAGGACTTCCTGGGCCAACTAGCCATGGTCAGGAAGGTGGGGTCAGAACCACATGCTTGGAGTGAAGATGGGGCTCTCCTGGGGGGTGGCAGGGTTGCTGGATGATTATAAAATACATAACATACCATTGTTATGCCTTCACATGCTTTAGCTGTCTCCTCCTAGCCAGAACCTTCCAGCCAAGGCCAGCTCTTTTTGTCTTCAAAAGACACAAGGAAATGTCTCTTAGCTCAAATGTCCCAAATACCCTTCCTATCCCTGTCCTTAAGTTTTATCCTCACAGTCCAACCCTGGTTCTCCAGACTTCTGTCCTCCTCACATCTCCATGAAGCTGTTTCCAGGACACTCCTGGCCACAGTGACTTTTCTCATTTTTCCACAGGGAAAACCAAAGGACAAAGAGGTGGGGTAACTTGCCCCAGCTGCCGAGCTGGGAGGGACAGGGAGCAGATGGCAGGACAAACAGTATGCTTCTAGAGCTTGGGGTGTGTTAAACTGTTTGTGTGTCATCTTCCAAGGAGACTGTGCCTGCCTTGAGTGCAGGGACGAGGGCATCCATCCCCCACCGGCAGCCAGATGCTGGCAACTGTTTGGTCATGACAGTGGATGGCCATGGCCTCCTCAGCCTCTTTCCACCCTCGTTCCTAGGCCTGGGGAAGAGTCTTTCCTGCCGATTTGCACAATTTAAAATCCTGTGGGAACTAGGAAGCCTTTCTTACAGGCAGGGATAGAGTAAAATAATTATTAATTATAATGCAAATGCCATCTTTTTGAAATTCTGCTGTCTCCTACATGCGAATGAGTGTCCCCAGCCTCCTCTGGGCGTTTCTGACAGATCGCCCAAGTGCACCCCTCCCCATCCCCTGTCTTCAGAAGTCGAATCTCCTGCGCCTCCAGGGCCCATTGTTGTGCCTGATTTGAAATGCAGGCTCTGATGCTCACGCAGGAGACCCTGAGCTCCATTCCTCCCATGCCGGAATGGCTTTTCTTCCTTGGAGAGCTGCTGAAATGTGGGTTTCTGCATTAATCAAGGTTCCCAGCACATTCGCGGACCTGGCTCTGCGCCTCCAGAATGTGTTTTCCAATCATCTCCTGGGCCCTGGCTATTCCAACCTGTCAAGACTGGACTTGCCGGGGCCATGTGGGGCTGCAGAGATGTGCTTTCCAGATTCAGAGTGATATTTATGATTTCTTGGAGCCAACCCCAGCAAGCTAGGACCAGCCCTCTCCGTGTAACCGAGCAGAGGTGCTGGGCCAGGCGGGCAGTGATTGAGGATTGAAGAAACCTGTGGCAGGCAGCCTCCAGGCACTCCACAGGCTCCAGGCTGCTTTCCTTAACTGCTTCCCTCCCAAACACCTGCCTCCTTCAGCCTCCTGCATCAGACCTTGAACAGGAAGCCTGCTTATTTTACAGAAACAGATTAGTAGCATCCTGATATGAGTCTATTATGACAATTGACAGTGCTATGTGCCAGGGATGTTCTTAGTGCTTTCCAGATGTTGACCCATTTAATCCTTATTAACACCTCATGACATATCATCATGCCCATTTTGTAGATGAGGAGCCTGAGGCTCTACAGAGTTAATGTCACTTGCCCGAGGCCACACAGCAGGTGCGTGGCACAGTGGCCTGTGGATTGAGGTGGCTCTTAAACACCTTGCTGTAACACTTTTTGATATGAGGGCTATTAAAATGCTGGGGATAGGAAAGATGTAGCGAGACTCAGATTTTCATGAAAAGCATCAATTATAGTAACTTATTAATTTTCTGACTATCCTGCAATTTTGTTGGACAAGAGGGGGCGTCATCCACTTCCTACATTTGCCCCATTTGTCACTTTACCTACATCTCATCTCAGACCCCAGTGCTAATGACTGGGACAAACATGAACATTTCGAAGTGGGGCCATGTGAGTGGGTGACCATGTACAGTAGTTACTAACTCTCCCTCCCTTCTTTTCTTCCTTTCCTCCTGAAGGTATACTTATTATTTATGTACATAGTACCTTATCTTACTCTCCCTGTCCCTCTAAAAGGACTACTCAAATTTCTCGAAGCACAAGATATGGGCCCTGCCTGCACATTTGTCTCATTGTGGTCTCATCACGGTTGTGGGTGGATTTGGTCCCTGGAGTGAAGCTGGCAAGACCTGTGGGCACAATGTTCTTGATCCAAAGCCCAGCAGCATCCCTCCCTCCGGAGGCTGAGCCCACAGCTGCTGTGTGGGGTGAGCTCAGGATGGCTGGAGCCTCTGCTGAGGCAGCGAAAACCAACCTTGTCTCTCTGACTCCTCCTCTGCTGCCACCTCCTTCCCTTCAAGACAAAACGCTGGAAAAACAAGGAATCAGATGCCTTCTAGGAATGAGGTTCAAACTCAGGGGCAAATGTTAGAGAATTTAATCTTGGAGAGAGAGTTGTATTACTAGATAATGTAATCATTATTAATGTTTATTGCATTTATGTGAGCAAATGATTATTCACAAGTTATCTTGCTCTGCCTGGCAGTTGAAGAAAACGTACAGTCCAGAGGGCCACAGTCTTGCATTCACATTCAATGTCAGCTTTCTAAGAGAGCACAGCCGTGTTACTCATTCTGGGTGCCACAATGCCTACTGTCCCTTGCCGACAGAGGGATTGAGGATGACTTGAGTCCAGCCCGTCCTTAAAGCACACTGAGTTCAGAAGATGTCTACAAATGTGAGAGCTGGAAAGGAGCTAGGAGAAAAGGCTATGGGAACTGGGGTGGATTTGAACAACGTGCTTGTGTCTATTTTCCCAAGATTGGAAGCAGTTGGAATACCTAGGACCTGACACCTTATTCTGCCTCTTCTCATAAATCATTCTGGGCTATGCAAACAACAACAATGCATGTGAATATTATGTGAGTGAATACAGTACTAATCTCTTCTGCCCTTCCCTTAGAAAGGTAGTCTGAGGAAGGGCAGGAGGATTCTTAGGGCATTCATAGAATAAATTAGAACTTAGATCAATTAGAGGACACCGATAGCCACACAGAGGGGATGAAACCTTTGCTGAAGGCAGAGGCTCTGTTGTGTTACCTTAAATTGCTAGAATTTGCTTCATGGCCAAGTCCCAAAAACTAGCCTATGCCATGAACAAAATGGTTGCATTCCAGGGAGAAATCCAAATTCTTCCCACATGGCAGCGGAGAAGTGGAAGGATACACTGTCACCAGTAATTCAGGTTGTATGTGGGAAGCCTACAGAATTCTGCCAAATGTTACAGACATGCATGACCAGTCCTATGAAGCAGGAATCTCATTTCTGGTCCCCAAGAAGCACAGGTATCAATCACAATGTTCTCAGAAATACAGATGGATACATTTTGCCACAATTTGTTATATGGTCACCTCTCACTAACCTGTGGGGTTTACAGTCCATCAAAGTACTTATCTATAGTGGCAAAATCCCAGTTGGGAGATCCAGATCTCATAAAATACAGGCAGCTGGGAAAAATAATTGCATTAATATATGTGACAAAGGCAGTAGTGAAAGTTCTAGAAGGTTTCCACTCCCAAAATAACCACTATTTAATCATGAGGTGGGCATATGGGGTGATCCTTTTGAATTGCTTTCTTCAGTTGTCTGGCAGACTTGTCTACATCATCTGCTAAGGCAGAGGCGCCCAGCAGCACACATGGCTCCCTGCAGTATATTCGAGCTAGCCCTCACTGGCTGGAAATGGAAAGCCTTTTGCAATTGCTTGTTCACTCTGGGTTTCCCTCTCTCCCTCCCTCCCTCCCTCTCATTTTCTTCCCTCTCTCTTTCCCTCCTTCCCTTTTAAAATACAAGTCTAGGCAGTTGTGTAACCTTCAAACTTTTCATAAATTATGCAAGAGCTTAAGGGCATACTTTTTGAAGTCTGGTCTTTCATTCCAAATTATTTGAGAGCATCAATCTTAATATCTTCATTTCTCTCTCTCTAGGTACTTTCCTGTAGTACCCTACCTCCTATAGTACCCTGTAGGATTCCCTCTCTGGAGTCTACAGGGGGAAAGAACAATAATTTAGAATTTTTCTGTTCTTCTGTTAGTAATATGGACAGAAGTAGCAAGAGAGTTGATTTTATATTTTTTGTAACTAGTTTAAAAGCATTATCTCAAAACCTGGAATAAAAGATTGATGCATATAAAGTGCTAAAAAAAATAATAATAAGCCTTGCAGTTATGAGCAGAGCTGAGAAGGGAGCCGGGGAGAGGGAGAGGTGGCTGAGTGTTAGGACATCAGGGAGGAAGGAAAATGCAAAGATAAATATGGAAATAGCTTCTTGGATATAAGCAAATAAATTTTCAATAAAGAACCGTGCAAGACCTGCTGTATGTTTTCAGATCTCCACATTTTCAGAGCTCAGACCAAAAAGTGGGCCCAGGGTGCAGCACAAGGGATTTAGGCTAAGCCTGCAGACTGCCTGTCAGGGTGACTCAGTGGGAGTCAGGTCACAATATGGGTTAGGATTTAGTTCAGCCACCAGTGACGGCAACACCCACCAATCACAGGTGTCCATAAAGTAGATCACCTAGAAGACCTGGAGGCTGGCGGCCCAGAACTGGTGTGTTGGCCCCACGGTCATCAGGGACCCAGCCTCAATCAGACCTTCCACCCAGCCATTCCTAGATGTGGCTCCCCACTCATGGTCCAGAATGGTGTTGAGGCTCCAGCCATCGCATCTCAGCTCCTTGGTCAGAACTGAGTCCTGTGGCCACATCTCCCTGGAAGAGACAGAGATTGAGGAATGTGGTCTTTTGGCTGAATGGCAGCATGCCCAGTGAAAACAGGGCTTCAAATAACTTGAGAGAGAAAGAGAGAATCTCCCTAACTAAGCAAGGTCAGCATCTTTCTCATCCTGGGGTATTTGTTTACTAAATACCCAGTGCCTGATGTTTTCAGGCATTGCTCAAGGGCGGTGGGGAAAAAGTAAATGGATTTCTGTTTTCATGAAACTTACAGTCTAGTGGGAGGCAAGACAGACAATAAAAGAACAGTAAAGCGTGGCCGGGTTGACAGCCTGCGTTCCACACTCAAGCTGTCTTCAGATGAAGCTCCACAATATTAATAATGGAGCGGACAGTGTCAAACATCACCATCTAAAGCCTGTAGGCACCCTGGACAGCCAGCCAGCGTCAGCATCTCTTTGATGCAAATTCCATCTTCAGACACTCCCCAGTGAGTGTCTGCCCAGTGAGAAGAGGAGGAGGGAGAAGTAAACACATAGTAAGCCAGGGCCCCGTTTAAAAATCAGCCCCCGAGTGACTCTTCAGCTAACTTGCCTCATGGGCCAGTGTGCAAAGAAACACTAGAGGATAAGAATCTAGCCCTAAAATTCCAGGGTTTTTTTTTTTTTTGGTTGGGGGGGGGTGGAAAAGAATTTGGAGCTATTTCTTTGCTGAGGTGCAAAGTAGTATAATAGGCCAGGCACGGTGGCTCACACCTGTAATCCCAGCACTTTGAGAGGCCGAGGTGGGTGGATCGCTTGAGCCCAGGAGTTTGAGACCAGCCTGGGCAACATGGCAAAACCCTATCTCTAAAAAAAAAAATTACAAAAATTAGCCAGGCATGGTGGCACGTGCTTGTAGTCCTAGCTATCAGAGAGGCTGAGGTGGGAGGATCGCTGGAGCCCAGGAGGCCAAGGCTGCAGTGAGCTGAGATTGCGCCACTGTGTTCTAGCCTGGACGACAGAGTGAGACCCTGTCTCAAAAAAGTAAAACAAATAAACATTTTTAAAAAGTGATGTGATAAGTAATAATTGTGTGGCTCCCTTGGGGGTTTGAAAGGCAAGCTGGGAAACTTGGGAAAACCACAGGGACACAGCCTTTTTCTGCTCATGGGACCTTCAGCAAGCGGTTCCTGGTCAGCAAGTCTGGTCTTGCTGGGAACTGGGCAGGTTTCCAGGTTCAGTTCACATGTTGTAAGTGGGCATGGCTCTAAATTAAACCTGGAGCCACTGCTGCCCACCTAGCACTCCCTGCCGTGGCCACTGTGCAATGCCGCAGACTAGTGATTCTCAAACATCTGAGGTGAAGGACCAGGGTTGTCTTTTTAAATTTGTTTCAGTTTCCTATCTGTCATAAAAATGAAATATTAGAAACGTGAAATAAAGACATAGACTTCTGTTATTAGATTCAAGAGACATAAAATTGCTCTGTCCATTTGCCCTAAAAGTTTCTAAAGACGGACTCAATTCCTGAACTTGAGTTTACCAACAGCAAAGAAGTCAGGGCCATCGCTACCAGCCCAAGGATTCTGCTTTGGGCCTCACTGCCCAGAGGCCCAGTATCTAAGGCCAGAAGGGAACAACTGCCCTCCCCACGCTATGTCAGGACAGTCCTGAAGGAGAATGAGGAAGCTCTCCGCTGGGAAGAGAGCAGCCTGGGCTGCTGTGTCTTGCCACCTGTTCACCTCTCTGGCCCTTCCTGCCCAGCTGTTTGAGTAGACTGGTCAAAGGAACCTCTTGGTGGACTCTCCTACCATAGTCCCCATGTGCAGGTGAAAATTTTATTACATGGTGCGGCCAGAGAAACGAAAGGTCACAGCTCTTTGTAATCATTATCTAGGCTCCCCTACCTGAACGCAGGCTTTAGCATAACTGGTTGGATTAGTGAAGCAGGCGGTCACCTCCAGCTGGCATGGCCTGGTGTGGCCTGGGCAGGGTGAGCTCATGGTTGACTCTGTGTTGCAGTTCTCCAAGGAGAGGCACATCATGGACAGGACCCCCGAGAAGCTGAAGAAGGAGCTGGAGGAGGAGCTGCTGCTGAGCAGCGAGGACCTGCGCAGCCATGCCTGGTACCACGGCCGCATCCCCCGACAGGTACCTGGTCTTGTCCCTTCCAGCACACACAGGGCTGCTCTCAGGCAACATACAGACTGATGATCTGCAGGGCCCCACTTCGAGGCCACGTGGGAGGAAGCTCCTGTGTAACCAAAAACAGATACTCTAAAAATGACTTCATTTAGACCCTTCTCTAAGAAGACCTTGGGAAGAGCTGAGGTCAAGAACCCAAAGCACACATCCACATGTTCAGGAAGTAGAGGGACAGCCAGCACTCCTGGGGTCTGCAAGCACAGAGCTGTGGGAGGCAGCAGCCACAGGGTCAGCAACCGGAAGAACTAGGAGGGCGGGGTATGGCCCAGGTAATTGAACTCTTGGCCAGCTGCCAGCAGCCTCAGACCATTTTGCAGCCCCTCCTTCTCAAGGCAGTGGCTTAGCTTCGGGAGGAGAGAGGGCGGTGGCCCAGACCAACAAGGCTGCCTCTGGCCCGGTGAGCTGGCAGTTATTCACACTCTCCATGGCTTCCCTGCTGGATCCCGTGACCAGAGGTGGGGAAGAAGGGGAATTAAACCCATGACCACAGACTCGTGGCCCAGAATATACTGTGCGATCGTCATTTGGGTGATTGCCATGAATAATGTTTTTTCATTTAATACTGTAAAAATTGAAAAATAGAGTAAGTCTGCAGAATTGAGGCATAGAATTTCCCTTGGGTTTTTATTGTAAACCTGATCTGGCCAATCATTAACCAAGGACAACATGACAGGAAATGTGTGGACAGGGGCTGGGGGGAAGGGCATCATGTCTTAAGTTTTTTTTTTGTTTTTTGTTTTTTTTGAGACAGAGTCTTACTCTGTCGCCCAGGCTGGAGTGCAATAGCACGATCTCAGCTCACTGCAACCTCTGCCTCCTGGGTTCAAGCGATTCTCCTGCCTCAGCCTCTCCAGTAGCTGGGATTACAGGTGCCCACTACCACGCCCTGCTAATTTTTATATTTTTAGTAGAGACAGGGTTTCACCATGTTGGCCAGGCTGGTCTCGAACTCCTGACCTCAAGTGATCCACCCACCTTGGCCTCTCAAAGTGCTGGGATTATAGGCGTAAACCACTGTGCCCAGGCTTTTTTTTTTTTTTAATGCAGCAGATTTCTTGGCACAATCAAATAAATAATTATTATTCTGACTTTTTTTTAAGTTTAAAATTGATTGTAGAAAATATACATAGCAAAAAGAAGGAAATTAAACTCTTATCCATAATTCTCCTCATAATTCTCCTGGGGATAACCATGATGAATACTTTTGTGTACAGACATCACCCCAGGCTTTTCGAAATCAAGTATGAGATCGTACTGCATATACTTTTTTGGTAGCCCATTCTACTCACTCACTGTGTCCTGGGAATTTTCACCCACTGTAGAATATTCTTCTGCACCAGACTATGTTGTATGTCTGTCCACGGTATGCATGCACCACAATTTATTGGACACGTAGAGTGTTTCTAATACTTTGACCAACATCCTTTATGATTGCTATGTTCATACCTACAATTATTTTCACAGGCTCAATTCTAAGAAATGAAATTTCTATGTGAAAACATTCTTAAGGCAAAGATGCAATTTTAAAGTAACCATGGTAGCCTACTCTTTTGAGTTAGCAGAAGTATACTGTTGATCAAATATTGGAATGTCCCAGAAAAATTGTCAGAATTATAAAACTGATGACTATCACCACTGTCCGTCTCCTTATCATGGTCATCAAATTTGTTTACTACTAACCATGAGTATTAATTTTCAGTGATAAATCGTTCCAAACTGGATAACTGAACACTCTAACCATAACCATAATAACAAGTTATTGCTAACATTTTAGCCCCTTAAATCTTTATAGCCATTCCATAGGTAATATTATCATTTGTGTTTTTCAGATGATGTAAGTGAGCCACAAGGAGATTATGTAATTTGTCCAGAGTCATACAGCTGAGCCAGGATGCAAACCCAGGTGGTCAGGCTACAGGAACAGCCAGGCTGTACCACATTATAAATTCTCCAGTTGCTATAAGCAGCAGCATCATGCTAGTTAACTATTTTTGAGCATCCACCGTGTTCCAGCGCTTGCATATGTTATGTATACAAATACATAACCCTCATAGTAACTGTAAGATGGACCCCAGCCTGACTTTGTTCCAGGCCTCCTAGCCAGTAATTGATGTGTCCAGAATCCATACCCTAGTCCTGCATGCAGAGTCCTCCTCCCTATTGGCCAGGCCTGGAGAGGGGCATCTTAGGAGAGGGCCCCGAGGACGACTTCTAGACACCAACAAATACCTTCTTTCTCCTCACTCCACTTGTTGGGGAGGGAAAATCAGGCCTGCCAGGCACATGTTTTCTCATTTCTTATTTCCTGTTGCATTACGTCATTCAGGTCCGTATAAACATCATGTTCTTGTGACACCTCCCCAACCACCCTATTTTACTGGACAGCCCTCATCCCCTCCCCGGCACTCCCTGCCTCCTTTCCTGGTTCACTTTTTCCCTGACCTTACAACTGGCATGCATAGCTGTTGGTTATTTATCCTCACTCAAACAGAAGTTCCCACCAAAACCAGGAGCTCCATAAGCTGGGCTCTTCGGTGCCGTTGTCACCACCGCATCCCCTGAGCCTGCAGTGGTTCTTGGCACGAGTAGGTGGTCAATGAACAGTTCTTGAATGAATGATTGGATCTCCTATGAATTTGGTATTTGAAAAACTAAAGAACTGGCCCAAGAAGAGACATAGTAGCATTGTCTTCTGTTGGCCCAGAGAAGTGGGTAGCCAGAAGCTTTTAGAAGGAATGTGAATTTGCCTTTCCTACCCCTCACTCACCTTTTTGTCCCAAAGGTGTCGGAAAACCTTGTGCAGCGAGATGGCGACTTCCTAGTTCGTGACTCTCTGTCCAGCCCTGGGAACTTTGTCCTGACCTGTCAGTGGAAGAACCTCGCTCAGCACTTCAAAATCAACCGGACGGTTCTGCGGCTCAGCGAGGCCTACAGCCGCGTGCAGTACCAGTTCGAGATGGAGAGCTTCGACTCCATCCCTGGCCTGGTGCGCTGCTACGTGGGCAACCGCCGGCCCATCTCCCAGCAGAGTGGCGCCATCATCTTCCAGCCCATCAACAGGACGGTGCCCCTGCGGTGCCTGGAGGAGCGTTATGGCACCTCCCCAGGCCAGGCCCGGGAGGGCAGCCTCACCGAGGGAAGGCCAGACATGACCAAGAGGCTGAGCCTCACCATGGGTGGCGTCCAGGCCCGAGAGCAGAATTTGCCCAGGGGAAACCTCCTCAGGTAGGTCAGGGCCTCCTGCTCAGGACTATGAGGGGCGCTGGGGGTGCCCAAGGTTAGTTAGGCAGATGAAGAATTCATCATGGAACAGAGAAATAAAAGATGTTAATAGGAATGCTGACTGTTCGCGGAATAGCAGTCATGAGGCAGTGCACGAGCAGCTCCTAGCCGAGCAGGGCCAGCAATGAATGGTACAGGAGCTGAGGAAGGATTGTGGGGGCACTTACAGGGGAGACCTTGTGAAGGGGGTAGGCTTAGGCTGGTCTGATGGCTGGGGGAAATGTGGATAGATGCTGCAAAAGGCAGGGGGTGTTCCAGGTGGGAGGCACAGCATGGGCATAAGTGTGGGGACAGAAAATGCCATGAAGAGCTTGGAGTGAGTGTGCTGATGGGGCTGGAACAAAGGGTCTGTGCAAGGGACCCGTAGCAGTCAGCCTAGGGAGGTAGCCCCAGCCAAATCATGGGGGCCTTAATTCCAGGTGCAGGGCTTTGAAGGAGCTGCACAGATTCAGCATAGTGAACACAGTGTCCTAAGAATAGAAATGGACAGCGATGTACTGGGGGCGAGGAGTGAGACAGGAACAGGAAACCCAGTTACTGAGTCATGGAGGGCCCTGGCTGCAGGAGTGGAGTGAAGGGAGAGTTGAGAGATGCAGGAGCCTGGCCTCCCAGGACTCTTCTGCACGTGGTAGAGTCAGAGGAGGGCACATTGGAGACCACAGGAGTGACCAGGAGGAAGGGCACTGTGGAGGATAAAACACACTTTTTCTTTTTTTTTTTTTTTTTTTTGAGACGGAGTCTCGCTCTGTCACCCAGGCTGGAGTGCAGTGGCCGGATCTCAGCTCACTGCAAGCTCCGCCTTCCAGGTTTACGCCATTCTCCGGCCTCAGCCTCCGGAGTAGCTGGGACTACAGAGTAGCTGGGACTACAGGCGCCCGCCACCACGCCCGGCTAATTTTTTGTATTTTTAGTAGAGACGGGGTTTCACCGTGTTAGCCCAGATGGTCTCGATCTGACCTCGTGATCCGCCCGTCTCGGCCTCCCAAAGTGCTGGGATTACAGACTTGAGCCACCGCACCCAGCCAAAACACACGTTTTCATCTGAGCTGGAAGACTGTGGTTTTGTTGAGTGCCAGAGTCCAGCAGCAGTTTTGGGGTCCAGGCGATGAGTTAGGGCTGAAAACTTAAATTAGGGCTTGGTCCACATGGAAAGGGTGGTTCACTTGATGAGAACAGATGAGATGTCTAAGATAGGAGATGCAGAGAGCATGGGGGCTGTATTCTGAATCGCAGGGAATGGGGGAAGAGAAGGATTCAGGGCACTTGGCGGAAAATCAGGGCTTCAAAACCTCCCTGATCCTAGGCACGCAGCTGTCAAATGTCAGCGATGGTGGGCTGCATTTGTATAGGGCCGATCTTTCATGGAGCTCAGAGTCTTTGTGCATATTATCTAAAAGCACTGGGAAAGGAAACGAGAGAAAAGGCAGGCATAAGAACACAGATCCAGTCCAGCCCCTCAGTCACACAGCAGCCTGACCCGTCTCCCAGCTTCTAATGTTATGCACATAAACCAACATATTTTATTCTACTCACTGGTTTTCTTTTTGGTCCATGAGGAAATGTCACAAACTGTCATTTCTATACTGCAAAACTTCGGGAGGAAAATACAGGACTCTGTGTGGAATGCAGATGACAGCTGTGTGCTGCCTGGAGGCTCTGGCACA